CTCCATGGAAGTGACTTGCCAGCCTGGGCTTTTCCCTGTGAACAATGGCTTTCCCCTAGCATGGCCCCTTTACTCATTCCTGCATTGTTTCCAGTTTACTGCCTGGCTTGCCAATTATTGGAGGAGGGAAGGAACGCAAAGTGTCCACCAAACAGAAGGCATCTTGAGAACAAAATGCCAGGTAGGCAGCTCTGTGTAATCAATCAATGGGTCATTTTACTGTAGAGTAACTTACAGGGTGGGAACGGATCGGGTGGATAATCCAGAAACATTCACAGCTGTACTCTGCATCATCGGGAGACTACTGGGATAATTGTATAGTTAACCTAGGATATGAGGTAGGTATTTGGAAACAGGACAAGCATTCCTAAGTCAAGGTTCATGAATGGGTAACTAGTCTCCTGGGAACCAAGAATTCATCAGTGAAGGTTTTCATCATTGTTTGGGGGCTAACAGAGCATAGAGGCCACCTGGTTCTGATCATTATTAAACAATACCTATTAACTATTTAATACAAAGCTCTTGATGACAGAGAAGTGGTTCACTGTACAGTATAGTCCTGGGTAGGATCAGCGGAGGGAGAAACTGTAAAGGCCCAAGATGGCGTCAGTTATGCTAACAACCACACAGGGGTTAAGTTTTATCTTCAGATCCTCAGATTGGGAGATATTTTCGGGCAGTATTTGTATGTAACCAGATTCTACTGACATAATTGGTCATGTGGTGTTTGCTGTAAAACACATTGTTATTGCAATGATGGTTATTACATGATGGATTGGGGCAGAGACCACAGACATGGCATGACACACATGCAACCTGCAGCAAAGCCTTGCCTTTTTCATTCCCTCGAATTCTTCATCATGGATATCAGCCAAAGCATCTGCCAGTTGCCACTGTTCAATGTGCACTCAATGAGCCTGGCTTTATGGACTCCAGGGATGGGTCAAGGGCATGAGGCTAAGGAACTGCTTTAAAGCAGTGGAACGGAAAATAAGTACACAGTATAATCATAGTTACCATTATCCTGTAATTCATACAATTTAGAAGCTCCAATAAGGCCTGAATGTGTTATACTGGGAAATGTTACAAATGCAATTCTAAGGGATGGATTGTAATACAGCTACTAACCTGCCCCACCCTGGTATACCAGGTACATTGTACAGTGAGCTGAGCCTGGAGATACAATTTGATTTGTCCTGGAAATGGTCACATACAAAGCTCTGCCTAGACATTTGTCTTCTTTCCATTTCCTGCTACGCATACAACTTTTTGACCTAAGCAATTATAGCTAATGGTTACAGAGAAGGACAGAGAGTGGCAGCATCTTCAAAAGCACATTTTCCCCCAGTGGTGGGCAGTGTCAAGAGACCGAAGTGGTTTACAATCAGCTGCATTACTTAAAACAATCTGCATGCCAAAGTGCCCCAAATGAATGAAGTCAAAATTCCACTGTTACCACTGATACAGCATTTGAATACAGCAAAACAATGGATGATGTTAAATTGAAACCAGTTTTAATAAATTATTCTTAAATAATAAATTTAAGAATCCTTCTATCTTAAAATATATTACTCCAGTAATGATAAAATGAAGTCTGAAAGTTAACCGCCTCATAATCTGCCAGGTAGGAAGCCCAAACTACAATTCTTTTAACTAGAATAATATGACATCTTTTTTCCTGCTATGGAATTTTCTCAAAAATACTCACTCCCTCTTTTTCTTCTCTCTCCCCTCACACACATACACATACACCAATTTAAAATAGCTTAACAGACTGATGTGAAGGTGCTTAAGGGTAGGTTAAGCTGATAGGTAAGTGGAAGGAAATGCTTAAGTGAGAGAAAAAGAATAGAAAACTCAGTGATCTGTGATTCTATGAGAATTAAGTGACTGGGTAAGTTCAGGAGAAGAGCTAGATAAAAGGCAAATTACATTGTAATGCAAATATTTATTTTCAGCTTACATTTGGCAGAATAGTCCAAATTCCAAGGATCATTAATGAACTGTATGAAATACCACCTTAAAGAAATACATTCCAAAAATTTATACTTACAAATTCTTGTTTGGCTGTATGTAGCTCCCAGATATTTAAAGTCATGCATCAGTTCCAGTTTACAAAAGAAAGCACTCAAAGGTATAAAATTTGACTTTTGCCTGAAAAAAATTAAGCTCCTTTTCAAGTTGAACTCTGCTTTCAGTGTTTAAATTAAGATCAAGATTATATACAAAGATAGTTTCAAGCGCAGGATTTTGTGTTGGAGAACAGAAACTTCAAAATGATAAAATGACTATAAAAAAAGAGTAAAGACAAATGCACTGCACACATTAAGTTGTAGACTACAGACAGAAAAATGACTAATGTTCATAGGCTATTTATTAATTGACCAAAATCTCAGAACCGACAGTGATTACATTTTGGCTTAACTGAGTAAAGTGGAAACATATCATGAATGAAATCTTGGTGGCCAAAGGTTATTTTTCAACATTCAACTTTTTATATATCCTATCTGAGATAAGATCTTTTGCTTTTATCATAAGATTCTTCAGTTTCAGGTATTTCCTAAGTGAGAATAATAGCACCAGAATGTCACAGCCTATGTAACATTAATGAAAATGGACCATACTTACCCTCTATCCTGAAATAGTTTACATACCAAAGACTACAATGATAACTATATGGTTTTACTTAATAATAAATAAATAAATAATAAATTAAACAATTTCTATGAAAACTCATGAATCAAATTATTTAATGTTCCAGATATCAAGTAAATTTGTTGTAAGGTCTTTTAAGATAACCCCCTTGAAAGAAAAACTAGGCTTATTCAACTTTAACATGCTCACAGTCTGAGTCTAGTGTTTGTACATATAAAGTACATGACTCATGAACTGATATTGTTGATTTGTGATAAATGATCAAAAAGTCTTGAAAAACAAATATAGCAATTAAATCAATTATTCAAGAATGATATGCACAGTGAAGTCCTTTTTATAGAAAAGTTTAAATTCCCACAATACTATAAAATTTCAAGAGTCAAGCATCCAGTGGAATGGTGAATACTGAACTTCATGTTGGTGGTTACCAACAGGCAGGCAGCGAGGGAAAAGCATCAGGAAGACATACAAAAGTCTTCAATTTTTATTTGATCTAAACCAAATGATATAATGTTAATTTTGATAAAACAGTATGATGGGCATGAATATACTGTTCTCTTCTTGTCTGCCTTAGACGAATTCTTAGAAAATTATTAACATCAGATCTTTGTAGGAATAATCAGCAGTGTATTGATGCATCAGTAATATTTATCAGCTAATCATCTATTCTGTGAACATCACTCATTTGAAGATCAATGATTTATAGATAAATGATCTATGCATCTTTTTATAATTTCAATTTACAGTTTTAACAATTTATTTAGATTTCGAACAAAATGGATTTCCATTCTTAATAAGTGAAAACCTAAGAAATTTTTTATTCTTTAATTGGAGGAAAATTGCTTTACAATGTTGTGTTGGTTTCTGCCATACAACAATGCAATTCAGCCATAATTTTATATATATATATATATATATACACACATATACATATATAAATATATTTACTTTCCTCTTGAGCCTTCCTCCCCAGAAACTTTTATTGGAAGAAAATGTCTTTATATCACCTGATCAGTCAAAGCTGCCTGAAATGCTATCCTTTTACCATCAATTATTGATTGTGTATCAATATGGAAAGCAGAAAAAAACCTGGTAGTAAAATTCTAAGAATTATGTTTATTATTATAGAAAGTACTTTTATGGCATTTGATAGAACTCAGTACTATTGCTTTGAAATGGGTTCACATCTGTGAAAGGGCTTCCCTTGTGGCTCAGATGGTTAAGAATCTGCCTGTAATGTGGGAGGACTCAGGTTCAATCCCTGGGTTGGGAAGATCCCCTGGATAAGGGCATGGCAACCCACTCCAGCATTCTTGCCTGGAGAATCCCATGGACAGAGGAGCCTGGTGGGCTACAGTCCGTAAGGTCACAGAGTTGGACATGACTGAGTGACTAGCAGCAGCATGTGTGAATCTGAAAGCCCACCCATATGAAGTCAGTCTTTACAAAAATGAAGAACAAACAAGAAATTAAACCTCAAAAGATATATCTCACATAACAGCAAAATATACAAATACAAGCAAAGTGACAATTTTTAAAAACACATAAAGTAAAAAAAAAAAACAAAAAAACAAAGCAATGGATTTAAGTTTGATTCTATTCTTCTGTCTTGTTGCTAATGGTCCTCTCTGTTTTTCCAGTTATATATGTGAAACAGGTGTGATAATAATTAAATCACGGCCTTTCAAGACTTACTAAGAGGTTAAAAGGAATTATTGAAATTGTGTTCAAATACTTTATAAATACTCTTAACAAAGATATTTTATTATACTTTGTCTTTTAAATTTTACTTTTAAATTTTACTTTTAAATTTTACTGTTTCTTAATATTGTTTCAAATTCTCAACTAGAGGTGTTAATTTCTTCCAAAGTGATACTCCCAGTGAATCATAATAGCTCTGATTAAGAAGATAATACTAGAACTATGCTACCTGAGGAAAAAAGAAAGAATGGCAGCACAACTCGTAAAGTTCCTAGACTTAGTCCAGTCAAGTTATGGACTGTCCAACTGACAAAATATTTTGTTACTTCTAAACTTCTGTGTATCATTTTCAAATCATGTTCTATCTCAGTGTGAGATTTCTTACATAAATAGGAAGAATTTGATTTCTGTAAACATATGTAGTGCCAGTTATCTCTGAATAGATTCCCCATAAGAGAGCTGCTTCAGTGAAGAATCATTTCTTACACACCCATGTCCAAACTCAAGAACAAACATTTTTCTTTGAATAAACAGAAATACTCAAGAAATGTTAAAGCTTTCTGTACCCAGGGACTGCCCACCTATTCCAAGCATGGAATCACTCCCTGGAGATTGCTGATGAATTAAAAATGTTTGGCAGTTACTCAGAGCTCATCAGATGTGTTCACCTTTGGTAGTTTACATTCTTCACTGGTATGACAACTCTGAAGGATGTCCTTATAGTGGTTCTTCAGATCTTCATACAAAGAAACAGTTTCTTGTGAGTGAGCCAATGGTAACACTTTTTCATTCAGTAACATCTGCACTCGGAATTCTTCTTTAGGAGTCTTAGCATTTTTACAATGGTAAAGCACAAATATCAGGTTTGAAGCATAGGGTACAATGTGACCACTTCGGAACTTCCGATGCATCTGCTCTTTGTAATTGTAAGCTGTTAAGGGTTCCTTGTCTTTGAAGTAGCCCATGAGAGAAAGCAGTGGAAGAAGGGTCTCTGCATGGCCAAACTGGAGGATGACTGGAGAGGAAATTGGCTGAGAACTTAAAAGAGAAATAGAGAAAAAGACACATATAAACATTTTCTACATACATAGTAATTTAACATAATAACCACACTTAGAATTAACACACAACTTTCTCATCTTTTAAAAATCTTTATGGGGACTTCCCTGGTGGTCCAGTGGCTAAGATTCCATGCTCCCAGTGCAGGGGGCCAGGGTTCGATCCCTGGTCAGGGAAGTAGGTCCCACATACCACAGCTAAGACTCGAGGCAGTCAAATGAATAAACAAATAAATAAATATTTAAAAAAATTAAAAAAAAATAAAAATCTTTATGTAAACAACAATATGGGTAAAATTTTGGATTACTGAACACTGTAAAATCTATCTAAAACATGCACATTATTCTTTAAGCTTAAAGAAAGCTGAGTCTTTACTGGTAGATAAGGGAACTTCAAGTTGATATGGATTTCAAAACTGTACTGCCTTTCTGTGAATGAATCTGAGCACTTGGCCCTTAGTAAATATTGATTCCTCTCTGGAGCTCTTCTGAATGAACTGCAAATGTTATTTCATCTTTAGCGAATTAGGACACTATTCAGTAAATTTCTTGGTTAAAACCAAGTCTGAACAGTGAATGGTAATGCATATAGTTCTTCAATGTTTTATGAGACCTGACTTGGTCACCAAATGTGGGAGAGTCACAAAAGGGTAAAGACACAACCTATTCTAGCTCATAAACTAGATCTGTGGTTGGGAATGGAGTTTATAAAATGCCAGAAACAATAGCTTTCAACACATGAGCTAGGTCACCTTTTTATTTTCTTTCAAGTTTTCTATGATTTTTCTCTGATAAACACCTCTTGTAAAAGTAGCAGCAGGGCTTCCCTGGTGGCTCAGTGGTAAAGAATCCACCTGCCAGTGCAGGAGACATGGGTTAGGTCCCTGATCCGGGCAAGATTCCACATGCTGCAGAGCGACAAAGCCAGTGTGCCGCAACTACTGAGCCTGTGCTCTAGAGCCCAGAAGCCACAACTACTGAGACCACATGCCGCAGCTACTGAAGCCCAGGTGCCCTAGAGCCTTTGCTCTGCAACGAGAGAAGCCACATCAATGAGAAGCCTTCACATTGCAACTAAAGAATAGTCCCTGCTTGAGGCAACTTGAGAAAAGTCTGAGCAGCAAAGAAGACCTAGCTCAGCCAAAAATAAATAAATAAATAAACAATTTTTTAAAAACAGCAGCAAATGGCTATTTAGCCTTTTCTCCAACTTTTATAAAAAGACTATGGCTTTTGTTCTTAAATATAATTTGTAAGCCTATTCAAACACAAAATCCAAGGAAGACAGGATAAATGTATACGTGAGGCTGATTTACTTTGTTGTACAGCAGAGACTAATACAACACTGTAAAGCAACTATATTCAATTTAAAAAAAACAAAACTATTCAAACACAGTTAACCAAACATTAGGTTACAAATTTTCTGGGAGGACAGCAATATTTGCAGCAGTTTCTGAATCCTCGTGATTCCTCACATAAAAATAGATGGAGCAAATGAATAGCAGATCCAAAGCCCAAGGGAAACAATCACAACTATTTTATTTTTTTCTACCAAGTCTTTGAAATGCCATGTGCACTTTACATTTACAGCAATCTCAATTCAGACCAGCCCCATTTTCAGGTTCTGAATAACCACACGTGGCTGGTGGCTTCTATGTGCAAAAGTGTTAGCTAGATAGTGGAGTGAACAGACTTACCTACATACTTGGGTTCAAAAGTCAATCAAAAAGAAAATAGGAAAAAAAAAGATAATAGACAAACAACAAACACACATATGAAACAAAAAAAAAAACATGTGCTGGGGGAAGGGGAACAGACTAACAGGGCTGTGTACAAATGAGTTCAAAGTCCTATTAACGTCACACATACAAGCTACAGAAGAAATTAAATCTAGATTGTTACCCAAATTTAAGTTTTAAACCTAAGATTCCTTAGTTTATATAAAGTGCAATAAATCCCACTTTCTCTTCTGACTGCCTACTTTCAGTCACATATTAAAATCAGCTATTTTTGAGAAGAAAGTTGAGAAAAACTGTGGTTTGAAAACGCTTATTGGGAGTTTTATGGGAAATCAAGTTTATATATAATTAGATTCACATAGGAAGCCAAATCAACAAAAATAAATGACTGTCTTGTGCCATATGATGCATCTAAATTAAAGAAAATATTTTAGAATTTCAAGAAATTTTCAACAGAAAGGAAAAACACAATTTAAAAAATAAATGCCCTAAATATTATCTTATTACAGATCAATCTCCATTACAAAAGGATGAAATATACAAAAAACAGTATTTTTAAAGGTCTGGTTAAATCCATAAACACAATAGTGATAATGAAAGACAAAGACTACATATTAGAGGGTCAAAATTAACATAGCCTCCAAAACAATGTAAAAAACTAAAACATCAGCTTACTTAGAGATTAAATGTGCTTGCAGAAAATAGTAAGCAACTTATAATTCTTTGTAGGTTACATATTTTTACAATAATGCCAAATATAAAGGAGAAATGAGCACAATTTCACTCATAATTATTTTTTGCTTACCTTTACCCATTGTGCCTTAGTGTCCTGCACACATAGCAGATGCTATAGCTACTCCAGAAAAAGAAGTTGGCTGATGTCCCTTGTATTTACACACAAAAAGCACTGGACAAAAATGGAGGTTCCCAATTTTCTGCAACATAGTAATTATACTCTACACCTTGAATTCAGTTTGCTGAGTAATAGAGTGTATGCAACTACATTTTTATTGTAGCACAGAAGAAAGGGAATATGTCAAAAAAATGACAATTTTTAGCTTCAGAGAACCTGTATCTAGGTCAAATGTTTCAACTCCAATGAGTAAGTAATAGCTATCTGGAACACTGTACTGAAGTTGTATCCAGAGTCACTGGATACAATTTCCTAAACACTTTCTCCTTTATAGATGAACATCTTTGCCTTGCCAGCCAATCTTTATCTCTCATTTTCCAGACATAATTAAAATAACTTTGCCTATTTCTAAGACACCTAATTACAAAATACGGCACTAGTTTGCATCTGTTGGTACTAGTTTGCATCAGTTGGTACTGGTTTGGTATCTGACTTCTTGTTTTTTGATAGCAGTATCACCCCTTGTTGGGTGTATTACAAACCACACAAATATATGTATGTCTGTGTGTGTATCATACTATCACTTGAAACAAATTACCACTTTAAGAATTATGTGTAAATCATTCCTAAATGTATGTACACAAATCTTTGTTGAGCACAGAATAAGAAGGTGCTTCACTGGTTTAGTTTGCGTGTTCTGTGTGCTAAGTCGCTTCAGTCGTGTCTGACTTTGCGACCCCATGGACTGTAGCCTGTCAGGCTCCTCTGTCCATGGAACTCTCCCAACCCAGGGATCAAACCTGGGTCTCCGGGATTGCAGGTGGATTCTTTATCATCTGAAGCACCAGGGAAGCCTTGGTTTGGTTTAGTTTATATCTTTTTTTTAAATGCCAAGGAATAGTATTAAAAACCTAGCTTAGAGGAATTTTATCTCACAGAGAAAGCTTTTTTATAAAAAGCAGAAAAGAATGCCTTATGAAACTTTGTAAAATATGCTATCAACATGAACTAGAACTAAATCTCTAAAGTGGTCTAAAATTATCTTTAACCACCTCCATGTTTTCATACTGTTCATGGGGTTCTCAAGGCAAGAATACTGAAGTGGTTTGCCATCCCCTTCTCCAGTGGACCACGATTTGTTAGAACTCTCCACCATGACCTGTCCATTTTGGGTGGCCCTACATAGTTTCATTGAGTTAGACAAGGCTGTGGTCCATGTGATCAGATCGGTTAGTTTTCTGTGACTGTAGTTTTCAATCTGTCTGCCCTCTGATGGAGAAGGATAAGAGGCTTATGGAAGCATCCAGATGGGAGACTGAGGGGAAACTGGGTCTTGTTCTGATGGGCGGGGGCATGCTCAGTAAATCTTTAATCCAATTTTCTGTTGAAGGGTGGGGCTGTGTTCCCTCCCTGTTGTTTGACCTGAGGCCAAACTATGGTGGAGGTAATGAAGATAATGGTGACCTTCTTCAAAAGGTCCCCTGCACGCACTGCTGCACTCAGTGCCCCCAGACTGCAGCAGGCCACCGCTGACCCACGCCTCTGCTCCTAGACACTCGTGGGCAAGTCTGGGTCAGTCTCTTGTGGGGTCACTGCTCCTTTCTCTCAGGTCCTGGGGCACACAAGCTTTTGTTTGTGCCCTCCAAGAGTCTGTTTCCTCAGTCCTGTGTAAGTTCTGGCGGCTCTATGGTGGGGTTAATGGCAACCTCTTCAAGAGGGTTTATGCCGTACCCAGGTCTACTGCACCCAGAGCCCCTGCCCCTGTGGCAGTCCACTGCTGACCCATACCTCTGCAGGAGGTATAAACTCAAACACAGTTCTGGCTTAGGTTCTGTGGGGTCTCTGGGTCCTGGTGTGCACAAGGTTTGTTTGAGCCCTCCAAGTGTCTCTGGTGGGTATGGGGTTTGATTTTAAACATGATTTTGCCCCTCCTACCGTCCTGTTGGGGCTTCTCCTTTGCTCTTGGACGTGGGGTATCTTTCCTTGGCGGGATCCAACATTTGATGCTTTGAATTGATGCTTTTGAATTGTGGTGTTGGAGAAGACTCTTGAGAGTCCCTTGGACTGCAAGGAGATCCAACCAGTCCATCCTAAAGGAAATCAGTCCTAAATATTCATTGGAAGGACTGATGCTGAAGCTGAAACTCCAATACTTTGACCACCTGATGCAAAGAACTGACTCATTGGAAAAGACCCTGATGCTGGGAAAGACTGAACGCAGTAGGAAAAGGGGATGACAGAGGTGAGATGGTTGGATGGCATCACCGACTCAGTGGACATGAGTTTGAGTGAAGTGTGGGAGTTGGTGATGGACAGAGAAGCCTGGCATGCTGCAGTCCATGGGGTTGCAAAGAGTTGGACACGACTGAGTGACTGAACTGAACCTCC